CACAGAGCCCGGTGGGCATCTGACTGTCCGCCTGAGCAAACGATGGGTTGGTTTGCTCCCTCCTAGCCGCCGGGGCAGGGCTGTGCCTGGGTGTGCCGCCTGCTGAGAAGCTAACCCTAACGGCATGTTTGCACAAAGCTCCGAACAGATGCAACGGGCTCTGCTTTGACAAGGGTATTTTTAAATCCTCTCCAAACCCTCGTCAAGCCAGCTGTTCTACAAGCAAGTTGAAGGGCATTGCCAAAGCTGTGCCTTAGTAGAGGTAACGGACCCAGCAATTTGGAACTGAAGGGCCTCTATTCATAAGAGTTGAGCAAAGCACTTCACGGCCCTGAAGACGTGGTCCCGTCTTCACTGTGCCCTCAGAATCAACAACTCCATTCGTTAGCAGACTGGCAGCTATCTCCAGGAGAGCTGCACTGGGGAGTTGGGTGATTTTCGTTTCTTCAACTGCGAGGAGCTGGGCTACCGTGCTGTGACGGGGCTGGTGCCTGTCGTGCAGCCAAAAGACTTCATTCCTACCTGTCACCTTGGTGGTCGGGCGCTTGTTGTGTCCAACTACTTGTAAAACCTCAGCCGAGGCACAGGCTTTCCCCATGCTGCCGCTCGCTGCCATGCAGCCTGAGGTGGAAAAGATTATTTTTTTTTTACTGTGGCTTTGCAAAGGCGCTCACAACCCATGCCATAGGAAAGGGGTGGTTGGTTTGATTTGTTTTTTCCTCCTTTCACGTTCCTGGAAAGAGGGGGCCAGCTGGACCGTGAGTCAGGAGGGCTGGGCTCTCCGCCTGCCTTTCCCCGGGGCTCTTGGGGGAGCCGGGCCAAGTCACAGCCCTGGGAGACGCTCGGTTTACAGCTGAACCACATGGCCAAAACTGCTAACCTGCTCCTGGGTTTTCCCTTAGCTTTGTCCCACGTTGCCTGCCCAGCACCAACCATGCTCAGAGCTGCCTTGGGCTGCTGCTGCTGCCTTGCAGCCTCACACACCGCAGGCTGCGGGACCGGAGCCCAGGCTCCCCTTCAGCATGGCCTGGGGTGGCAGGGACTTCAGCTCCTTTTTCTCCCCAGGCCACAGCAGCTCTCGGCAGCAGGATTGCCGCTCTCGCCCCAGTGTGGGACCTCTGGGACTCCTCACGCCTGGTCTTGTGCTGCTCCACAGGTATGGAATACATGTGCAGTGAGCCCGAGCAAGGAATTCCATAGCTCGCTGGGCTTGTCGCTCGGTCGGAAAGGAGCTCTGGATTTGCTCTGAACAAGTAGAAAGACTGGCTGAGCTCTCTGTTAAGGTGCTGGCTGGAAGGGGGAACACATCAATTCCCAAGACCCACATTTATACCCAAAACTGATGTAACCCAGCAGCAAAGGCCCTTAGGAGCCTGCATTCATCACCGGGCATGGGTGAGTGCTGGATGTCTCCTGCTTGGACCCTGGGAGCACTGCAGCCCGGCAGAACTTCTGCCGCCTATCTGCTCTGACAAGAAAGCAACTGGCCACTTCAGGCCCATCAGTACAAGAGCTATGAAATGGGCTTTCATTGCTTGACAGTAAATGCAACAAATCCTTATGGTCTACGTAATCCCTTGGTTGCTTGACGCCGCTCAGCTGCAGGCGTACAGGTCCAGTGGGTGATACTCAAGGCAAACACCAGCATAGGCTCCACACAGGTAAAGTGGCAGGTGCCAAAATGCAAGTCCAAAACCAGCAGAAGGCCACAGAAACATATATTTTTATGCTAGAGTGCTTAGTCAAGAAGGGGGAGAGCTAGGTACAAGTCTCTTTCATGTCACAGAGACCAAAACCCACATCCCCTCTGCTTCACAACAGCCTTCACCACCAGGCGTAAGACTTTCTGCAGGAAGGTGCTTCCAGCCAAAATGTTGAAGTGCTTCTACTTCAGACAGAAAAATGAAGCATTTGTTGGCCCAGAGAAAAAGCTTCTCTACTGCGCAAACATCACTGCACCCTTTGGAAAGTGGCCTGGGTTCTCTTAGCCCTGCTCCAATTTCACAGACAAGAGCAAAGCACGCACTGGAGAACAAATGGGATCCAGATCTCCTCTCCCTCACGTGAGTGCTTTTATCATTAGATTACAAGGTTCAAGTCATTCTCTCCTCCTCATCTGATCTTGTCCCTGGAGCATGCAGATTAAGAGGCTCAAGCGGTCTTAACACCCATGTTTCTTGAAGGCCAGAGTCCCGCATCCCCCCCAGTTCACACCTGCTGGCACAGATGCCATGACAGGCAGGGGAGGCTGTTGCACAAGCTGCCCAAATCCCAGGACAGAAGCTGATGGTTCAAAGATTCCTGGCGCTCTGCTGTATCAAATAAGGTTTTATGTGCAGGATCGTACGTCGCATGTTGGCAGAGATTCCTTTGTACGACCCAAACCCCCCTGAATGCTGGGTGGGGACTAGAATGGAGAGGCTGCAGCCCAAGCGTCCTCCAGGTTCTTTCTCTCTCCAGCCTACAATCTTCTTCCCTGTCCTCACTCTGATGAAGTGTTCTGCAATCACACAGCTCCCCCAGATATTAATTTCAGAGAAATCGTGAGTTCCTGGTGGGAGCAGTCGCTTAGGCAGAAGAACCGTGGTGACTGAATGTACCAAAAGAAATTGGGAGTTCTGTCATTATTTCAAAGTTGCTTTAGAAAATACCTCATTTTCATTTAATTAGGGATATGTCCCTGCCTGCTGTGAAGCATTATTATGGTGCTTAGTTTCACCTTCACAATTTGCTTTTTCTTCTTTCAAAGAGCTAAGCAAGTTGAGCTTGGGGAAGACTCAATTACTTTGAGGTGTGTTGGCAACATCTATTTCAGGACCAGCTTCTTGTATGATAAGCTGCAAGTGGCCTGGCAGATGTCATTTTACTGTACAACCACTCCTTTCCCCCCGCTGGCCCTTGCAGACACACACGACCCCTTTTCCACAAGCCCTCCTTACCACTGACTCGTCTGGTCCAATGACTGCTCCCACTGGAAAAGGCTGCCTTTGCAGGGATGGGGCCCATCGCTCTGTTCCCTGTCCGGCAGGCAATCCCCAGCAATACACCATTAGACACTTTTTTCCAAGGGCGGGCTGGAAGCCCGATGTTCTCATGTGAATCCAGAGGCTGAGGCAATGGACACGTGTCTCCGTGTTAATCCAGACCGGCCCCACCCCAGGAGCCCAGAGCACAGCCAAGCGCCCTTTGGTTTCGGGCTCTGAATCTCAGAGGATCAGACTTAAATGACTAGCTCTGAGGACTGCGATTCCAGAGACAGTCCTTTATCGACCCGCAAGCTACCACTGATAATGAGCACTACCTGGGGGTGAAGATCGGGGTCAGGAGAAGCTGGACCGCAGCCTCTGTTGCCAGGTCCCCTGCCAGCCAGGGCTGCAGATGTGATGCTTGCAGAGTGCATTAGCTCTGAAGGCAGTGCTCATCTCCCTCTCTGTCTCTCTCCATCTGCTGAAACTGGTTGGCAAAGGAGAGAAAGAATTTAGCACTGTGCGGAGTCTGGCTATCCAGAAAGGCAAGAGGAAAAAAACAAAAACAAAAAAAACAGAGATAGAAATAAAGGGTGATCAGTAATCATGCCTTTAATAGCTTGTAAATATATATATTTTTTTAATTCCAGGCAACTAAGATGTACATTTGTTGTGTATATCTGACATCTGAAAAATCCATGAGTCCACAATCTGTTCTGTTTCATCCCTTTTCTAAAGCACATAAATTAAAGTATCAGTCACCCCAATATACAACAGTTTAATGAAGGAAAAGGTCTTGTTCTGTTTTTACAATTCAGTGTCACTTTTTTATCTGAAGCATTAGATAGAGTTTTAGCTAGATAATTGTCTTACAACACAAATAGGAAAACTCAGAACTTAGGCTGTCCAGAAAAATTCAAGAAATTTCCACTCCCTGCTCTCAAACTCCACTTCCGAATAAAGCATCAGAGTAACATTTTCATTTCCCGCTAGAAAACAAAACACCCCCAAAACTCTTCAAACACACCTGGGAAACACTGTTTGGACCACAGAGCTTATTAAACTTAAAACAAGTGCAACGATTTCCCCTTCTACAACTTCAACGCAGAACCTGAATTCACGTCAGGATGAACAAGGATAGAAAACGCCAGACTACCAGTAGCCTTTCGTGCCTGGGGCTGCTAAATGGCCTCCCACACTCGATTTAGGTATCCGATAAAAGCTCTCAGCTTTGAGAGCACCTGCAGACTTGGGGACCCTAGGCCACTCAATGGTTCAGGCTGAGGCCATTTCAGCATCCCCTTGCTGAACACGGCTCAACCCCGCCTTGCACGGCCAGGATTTGAACCCGGGTGGGAAGATGCTGAGGACCCTCCTCTCGCACTGGTGCTCAGCACTTGGCACGATTCAGCCATGTAGCTGTGGCTGCTGCCCAGAATTATTCCCACTGAAACTGGGGACAGCCTTCTTGCTTATTTTAGTAGGTGCAGGATGACTTTATTAGCAATACAGCATGGGCCTTGACTGAGAAGGGGTTGCTCTTGCCTTTTTCCCATTGGGGAGTACATGGGCACCACATACCTGGGGCTGCTCCTCATCAGTCTGCTTGGGAGCTGGTGGGAACAGCCTGTGCTCTAGCACAGGGTTGATTGCACACAGGAAAATGGGAGGCAGGTAGAAACAGTTCATCTGGCTGATGTTTTCACCCATTCCCTAGCACTGAATAGAAAACCTCTGATCTAGGAGAAAAGAAAACCTAAAGATGAAAGAACACAAAAATAAAGCAAACCCGAGACCTTTACTGGTTTTTCGTCTGCCACTGTTTTGACTAAAGAACCTGATCTAGAAATGCAGCTAACTCCAGAGACAAATGTACTCTTTCACAGTCTGGTGTGCGTGCAGCACTAGAACAAAGTCACAACTACAGGTGCAAAGGAACAACGTTACAGTCCTCAGAAGACCTACTCTGTGCACTCACCAACAGCTTGAGTTTGCTGATAAAGTTAAGCAAAGAGGTTCATTCTTCTTGAGCACAACCAGCTTCTATCACAGAGAGATTCTAAACTGACATAAATAATTATAGTCTTGATTAAAAAGAATATATTATTCTAGATTTTTGTGGTTTTTAGTTTTCATGTAAAACCCCTATACTCTTGACATCTAGGAACAAAGACAAAAAAAACCAACCCAGGCACTTGCTGTGCCTTCTCAAGCACTGTTGTGGTGTTTAAGGGACACAGAGGAACTTAACAGATGAGACTAACGCCTACAGTGGAAAACGAGAGGAGTTCTTCATGCCGTTGGCTTTTTCAAGTCTCGGATTTGCTTAATCAAGTAGTTCTTCTCATCAGTGAATTGTTCATCATCCGTCCTCTCTTTCTGGAAATTGCTCAGAAACTCAATTAGCTTGGGCTGGTTTTTCAACAGGATCTCCACAATAGGCTGTGTTTTGTTTGGACTGGCCACAAAAACCTAACATGCAAACAAACACAGGCACAGAGAGACACAGAGAGAGAAAAGAGAGAGGGAGATGAATATCAGTCACAATATTGTCCTAAGTTATTTTCTAACAAGTCAGCTGAAGCCTGGCAGGCAGATACTCTGCCGCTACCCACCTTGTCCCAAGGCACAGAGAGAGAAGTTACAAACATGTTGGTTCAACAGCAAATAGAAGCAAAGCTATGCCTGTGCTTCCCTTTAATTTTGATCTTTGTGGATAAAGCGTTTGATTGTAAGCCCAGCTGTTGAGAGCAGGCTATCAATTCTCAGCCTCTTCCACATGCAAGACTTAAATACACAGAAATTAGTTATCAGGAGAACAGAAAAGCTTTGTGTCAGTATTGATATCATTTCCATACTAAACCAGGCCTAAAATTAGACTTGCCAGCTCTGTTTTGGCTTGGAAAAAATGTCAAGAGGCTCCACCTCCCTCTGCCTAATCCATTCATGGGAGCGTGGAAATTTCCAGCAGCGGGAGCAGGAGTGCCATGGTGTGCCTGGCACGTTCGCTGCCCTCGCCGAGTGGAGCAGGAAGGCAACGCAGGGAGGTGACGTGATGCTCACTGTGGGCTTACCAGTCTTCTCAGATAGTAGTTTTTAAGGATAAACCTAGTGGTGCTCTGATTTTTCCTCCTGCAAAGCCTAAAGCCGCAGGAGTTTTCCAGCTCTGAATGTGACCCCCTGCTCTGCGACACCGTTTCTTTAACATTTTCTCTGCTGTACGCGCCGGCTGATGACAAAAAATTTAAGGCCCATTGTAAAGGCCAGCAGTGGCAAGCTCTTCCTAGGGACCTGAGTATGCCACAGAGATGCGGGCTCTGCGGACATGAGGCTGGGGGGACTGACGGTGGGAACACAGGCACAGCACAGCCCCAGCCAGCCCGGGAAGAGCTCCCACATCTGGCTCGCCTCGAGGTTACCATGGCTGGTCAACAAAACACCGCCCGAGCGCTTGTGTAACACCATAAATAACTTGAGTTATTCTCTACCCGACGAGAAGAAATTAAGGATGGACAGAACTGGAAAACGTCCAGCTTTCCTCCATGCCTGTCCAAACCAGAATGAAAACAAATATCTGCTGACAGTACAGAATGGCATGTTGTCCAACGAAGTGCAGGTGGCATCACCACTTGCCCGGCTCCGGGGCCACTGGCTCCAGACCTGGGGCTCTTCTGCAGGTTCATTTATCTCCGCTGAGATTGTGCGCACATGAAAACCCGGGCCACGACCAGCTGCGCAGGGAGCAGTCACGTTACGTGATGAGGAACACGCGCATACCGTCCTGGGGGGGCTGCATTACAGCCCCTTGCCCCCAGAAACAACACCTGGCAAAGCCTGGGACAGGATTCAGACCAGACCCATTGTGAGGCTTCGTATAACATCCCCTAATTGGGACGTACAAGTGGCGTGGAAAATGCCACGGGTGGGGAACGTGTGGAAGGAATGGGGCTTGGCACACATCAACAGTGCCACACTAAGTACTTCTGCCCAGACAGGAAGGTAAGACTTTTTTTTTTTTTTTAATTCCATAAAGGTGAGGCAAAGCATCTACTCTTAAACCCTGGCATCCTGAAGCCATAAGAGCCCTAATCCCTGCCTGTGCTTTTGTCTCCTCTGGATCCCTCCTCCTCAGGTCACTTCTAGGAGCCCCTGCCTCAAGGTACTTTTCCCTCTGCTCTGGGGAAAAAGCTGCAACCTCTGCCATGCTGGGTGAATGCTTCCAGGCCCCAAGTCTTTTACAAAGTTCTCCTTGATCTAGCAGCCAGGCCGCGGTCCCTGTGACAGTATAGTATCTATAGTTATTCACACAGTCTTTGCACAGGCCTCCACATTGCCTTTCTCTGATTACCCTGAGCTATAATCTCAGATAATGTCTTTTTACGCCCACCTGCCACCTAAACCTTTTCAAGAGTAGCACCAACAGCCCCAACTCCCACAGATCTCTTCAGAGCAGCCACCCTAAAATAACAGCTTTCCTGCGCGATGCTCCAAGCGCTCAAAGTGCAACATCTTACCAGGGACACATCTATCAGTGGGTCGGACAGCCGGTTCACAGCTCTAACTGCACTTAATGGACTGTCGATCGCTGATTGTTCTGTGGCAATATCCCTTCTCTTGCAAATAACTTTGATGTGCTGCTATTGATGTGTTGGTTCCCCATATGAGAAATAAAGGGTTTGGGGATTTAAATCACTGCTGAACATACTTTACAGCTTCCAGTCTGTGCCTTATCTAAGGAATATGAATCTTGAAATCTCCTGGGTATGAATGTTTGCCTCTGGCTGAGACTGTGGCAGTTCACGCTCTCAGCTCGAGCAGCCCCACAACGCAGCTCTCCACGTGCTGACCTACAGCAGGTCACCATGCTGATGGAGGCTGGATACTTCCAGGATTTGCACCATGATTAAGCCCTAAGATGGCTGGACAAGCTTCCTTTCAGAAAAGCAGCACATAAGCCTATGGGCAGTGATGAGGAAAGTAACCATTACAGATCTTCATTAAAAGCTTTGAATTTTGGAGTTCAGTTCCCCCTTTGTGACCAGGAGAAGAAAACGATCAAGTGAACTGACAGGACCCATATTTTCAGAAATAATCTGATTACAGCCTGACCTTGAACATCTTCCTTCAATGAGTATTAGGCCTCCTTATAAAGATAACTGAAGGCTGACTCTCAAAATGAAGAAATCTAAATCATTCTTCTTGTAAAAGCTATCTGGTCTGCAAACAGAACTAGAAGGTTTCAGTGGTAAACCTAGTAAATACCAGCATTTCATATTGGTCCTACAACTGGTATTACCGTAGCAAATAATTAAAGAACTTAGTTTAATAGAAGACATCACGTCCTGTTTATCTTCCTGTTCAATTATTTATAGATTATAATCTTCCCCTTGCAAAACTGTCAAACTGAACATTCAAACAAAGATCATCTTGACTGCCAGTCTTGCTCAGTGTCAACAGGGACTCGTAAAGAGAGGATGTTGAAGGACTAGAAAATTCCTGAAATGTTATTCAATGCTTGGGCTAAGCAAACAGAATCAATTCTGCCAGTATCTACTAATCAGCTTCACAAAGCCCAGGATTAGGACCACCATGAGACTTTACTTTTAAAAGAGCCCCCCCTTGTTCAGAACTCTGTGTTGTCAGAGAGGAGGAGATAAAACCCTGAAAACAGAAATCATTATTAACGCTATCTGGAACATTTCTACTAAAAACGAAGTTTAACTGAAGCTAAAACACTTCACAGAGAACTTTGTTTCACCTATGGTTTTATTATGAAAGGTTGCGTGTTCTAGAGAACTTGATTCAGATACATGAGAGAGACAGAGACCCAAAATAAAGAGAGTACTCATACTAAAACTCCAACTCTAAAAATAGCTGTTTCAACACAGTTCCGTTTTGTGAATATTTGCAAAAGGCCTGGAATGAAAATCAGCTCTGAAGCTTCAAAAGTGGTCCAAAGTGGAAATGTTGCTCTCCTCTCCATTAAAAGTCATACACTGTATTTCTTCAAACAAATATCAAAACCACTTGATCGGAGAATCTGACCTTGTTTCCTTACAATTAATAACCAAGCATCACCATCCCCTGGGACTACAGCAGAGCAAAAACAATTACAGAGGTTGGATACCCTGGACTGGGTATTGTAAGTCTTACTCTGGGGTCACGCACAATCTTACTGTATCAGGAAACTGCACACAGAAGTGCCTTACAGTTCATGTTGCTTATAGCACAATGCTTCACATAACACTTCTTGCCCTTTAAACTCTCCAGCTAAGAAACAGGACACAGCCCTACACACATGGTTTCAGCTTCATACCAAGAGGAAACTGTTAGTACGGTCAAATTATGTGAGACCATTTGCAGCGCAAGCTGCAGGAGGTAGCTCTGTAATGTGCACGAAAGAGAATGGAAAAATGAAACTAAGGTCACAAAACACAGTGTACCCGTTCTATTTTTAGATTTAAACCGTAAAATCCATCTTGCTAAATGTCTGCTTAAGAACAGGAAAGTTGCATAATCCCAATTCACCACTACAGGGTGTTTTCCTCAAAATAGTCTAATTGTTTACGTGAAAGCCAAGACAGCTTGTTTTTTAGCCTTTATTTGTAAATGCATAAGGTCAAAGGAATACCTGCACCACGTACATGCACATCTGAAAGAATCGGTCTCCCCTACAGGCAAACTCAAAGCAGGCTCCAGTAATCACTGTCACAAATCACAGGAGCTGGAGAGCCCTTCCCAGTATTTGGTCCTCAGAGTGTACATGCTCAGGACTGAGACCTCTCCACTGAAATCCATGCAGAGAAGAACCAGTGACTCTCAAAGGCTACAACTCTAGGCAACCCCACTGGATTATTTATGGAGGAGGAGGAAAGGGGGTGAGGTGTGTTAGCTTTTCCTTATGATTAAATACTGCCTAATCCTCATGCATACATCGCCTGGGACGTCCAGCTTTACAAAGCAGCTGCAGGCCTTTAGGATGATGCCTCAAGGCAGACGCTCCATTGTGCTCAGGCAAAAGGAAGAGAAGGAGCTGGAGCGAGGAGGAAGGAAGAATGGAAGGAAGTATTGCAAGTGGGTGGTCTGTTTGTCTTCAATTTCCCACCCAAAGCATCCTGGAGGAGTGAAATTTTCTCAGAGCCTGAAGGGGTACTGGCATTTTCAGCCACAAAGTGTTCCTGCAAAATAATTTTGCACTAGAGGTCCTCATCATTTTCAGCTCTACCTTACTGTTATTGAAGATTCAAAACAGAAATTGCCTCAGGGAGGTAAGAGCCATATGCCTTTTCTGGGTTCAGATGGGGCGTGGGAGCGTTGGAATCTGGATGCTTACAAAAGCACTTTTTCATTTCTACTGTGTCTAACTGGTGAAACATCTAAATCAGGTAACTTAAACCCAAATCTTTTGGCAGCTCAGACAGAGAAGCAAATATCCACTTCTCAGCAGACCTTTGATTTCAAATCACTGTGGTTAGTCTACTGTAATTTCAGCCAGGACTGCACAGGTATTTTGCCAGCACAATTTAAAAATGTGGGCACATTTAAAATTTATGAGATTAAAAGCCAAGGACAAGATTCCTCTCCCAACTAGAGGAGCATGGAATTATTACATCTGACAAGGGAACCAGGCTGAGGGACACTAACCCAGAAACAGGAGGCAGGGACGCTGCAGAACCGGGCACAACCAGCCAGTAGTGCTTTACCCCACTGTCTTAAATAGTTAAGGATTTCCTTTAGCAGTTCTCAAGAAGTTAGAATTCAATTTAAGAAGTGAAATCAGAAGAAAACGATCGTTTCTGACCCGCTCTAGAAAGCTAATTGACAATGCAATTTTCTATAACATACCCTATAACTACCACTGGGGGGAAGCGGAATGCTTCTACCTCCAGCTAACCCAGTTCCTCAGTGGGGACCTCAAAGGCGAGCTCTGCTGCACCTCTAGAGTTACTCTAGAGTGCACTGGTGGTTATAAACGAGCAATTTCCAGCTGATCAGGTCCTGCTCCGAGTGCAATTTCCTCACAACATGCACTATGCACATGAAATAGCGTGAGGAATGCCATGGCACCGCTTAAATGCTGGAAATGCTGGAAAAAACCAACCGCATCCCATGAAGGTTAGTATCTGAGGTCAGAGTTTGGCCCTTTGAACTGAAGAGATACAACATTACCACCGCACAGTGTTTGTTTTGCTGGACACCCCAAGGCCTCAGCATTACGTCCACATGGTAGCAATTGCAAGTGGTCAAGCAAGGCTGAGCCTGCAATAATATCTCCAATCTAACTGGAAATGAGATGCAACATACTGGAAAAGGAAAGGAAGGGAGGGAATGGGAAGGCAGAATGGGAGCAACAGCAATGCATTACATGGTTGCACACTGGAATCCTTTCAAGTTATTCCAAATCCCTTCAAATGCCTCTTAAAATAAGCAAAATCAGCTGTTCCCAAGGCCTGGGCCATGCCTATCATTAATTCAGAAACAGCAACTCATGTGTTTAATACATAAAAATCTGGCATTTATTCACAGAGTGTCTAAGAGAGCCCAATCCTCTGATCCCTTTCTTCCATAGGCATCTCAAAGGCTGCAAGCGTTTGGAGCTTGACTACTCGCTTATCTTGGAGCCACATACCTCCTGATAAGGAGGAGGAGTAGAACTTACTCACAGCGGTTCAGCTGACTATGAAGGAAGTCAGCAAGGGAACAGCTTACCAAGCTGCTTATTTCAGGAAGGGAATTTTTTTTTTTTAATCCCCCTTGAAGCTTTTTTTTATTTTGGAAACGAAAAGCTTTTTGGAGAAGCTGCACATCCTCTAAGCCTCCAGACTGAAGATCTGAAAGCTTTTTTCCAAATCAGAAATGGCAGAAGTACAAAACTCAACAAGTCACCCTGAATTTGTGGAGGGTGATGTAACCTTTTTCCAATAGCATGCCTTTTGGTGTGACCTGGTATCTTTCTTAACCATCTTGGGGAAAGATATCCTTACAGGCTCAATATTCCTCTTCTGAAAATCATTAACAGCTCTATTTACATAGTTAGAAATTAATCTGTTCATTCCAAACTAAAGGCAGTTTTGCATAATAACAATCCAACTTACCCTCTGTCCCAAGGCAGAGAACTTTTTTGATAGAAAAATGGTAAACTTTTCACTAATTAACATTAATCATAACAAAAAAAGGGACACTGGTTGGGTCTGGTAATTGTTTAAGACTGCATTAATGATCACTGCAAAAGGACGGAAGGATTAAACTCATTTCCAGCTCAGATTTACCAAATCTTTTTAATACCTTTAAAAGCAAATTGTGTTAGCGCTAATGCACAGCACCAGCACCATCTACTTTTAGTCTTAATGTAGAGTTTTAGGACTTTTATTTTTATCTTTACTCAGAATCACATGGTAAAATGACCTAAGAGCTGGGGGAAGGTACCCTGGATACCACCTAGAAGCTGTGTATTTTGTTACCTGTAGCATTCACCTCATCGCTACTTGACTGACTACCCTCAGCCCAAACCAAAGTGATGCTGTTTTAGAACTCACCTGAAGGAATGCAAACAGAAATCAGAGGCTGAGTGATAGAAAGGTTATCAGTTAAGACATTCTCAAATGTTGGAAGTGACTGTAAACCCCAAGCTTTGCCTTAATTTTCTGGGCTTTCTCTAGCCCACCTTGAAAGACACTTTTATGAGGAGAAAAAAAAGTCTGCCACCTCTACAGCTCATACTAGCTCACCTTGAACACATGGAATGCTTCAAACTGAATGTTGGGGCTTTTATCTCGCAGCAAGTTCATCATCAGCTTCAGATTTTCTGGTTTGCTGATGTATTTTGTCATGATGGCAAAGTTGTGTCGGTCCAGAATCAATTCACCCAGCAGCTATAGACACAATTACAAAAAAATCCCATTTTTTTATCAGTTCACCACATTATTTTTGAACACAGAGAAAGCAGCAACATATTTTAATGCTTGCCTAAGAGATTTCAATATCACTACCTTTTAAAAAAAAAAAAAGTAACTACACTTGTTATCATGCAATGAGCTACTTAATGCCCAGTAATGCTCACCATCTACATACTACAGAGAGGGATCCCACATATGGGCTGGTGTAATAGGACCTGGCATAAGCAAGCTAGGACAGAAGCAAGTGTAGTGCAGCTGTCCCACAAAGACACCTTCACTTCATTCAGATATTACATTAACACGCCTATCTGGTCGTATCTGCTGGTCATGTCAGACTTGGTGCTGTAGCAGCAAGCAGCACCAGACAGAGACTATCACATTACTCTCAAGTTCATTTTAACCTACATTCTGAACCAAAGTACAGATTTGAGGTCAGAGGAAAAATGATAGTGCTTGTTCCATAAAAACAGCCCAATACTTCATCAGAGGTCCAGGAAAGAAAAGACACAGTGAGCTCTTGTGCGTTGTAAGAAGAGCATCCTAAGCACTTATGTCTTTTTTGTTAGAAAGTACGTAGCTGCTCTGTTGCCATATATGCATCTTGATATTCTGCCTAACGTGGAGTTCAAATTTAGAAGGAAAGTGCTGAGAGACTTGACTTTACCTTCAGAGATTGTCTCTTTGTTACGTAATTCTCAGAATGAAGGAGTTTTTCATAATCCTCAAAGATCTAGAGTAACAAGAAAACACAAATGCATCCAATTCATGTCCATCCTTCCTCCTCCTGGTCCCTCCCACCCCAGAGGAGCAGCAGAGGCTGCAGCAGTGCCACCCTCTAACACTTCACTGCAATGCCAGGGCCAGTCTCATGGCCTTTTTTTCTTAGCTGCTTATCATGCAGTGAATTAATGCCCAGGAACACTCCTCTTCCAAATACTGCAGAGAGCAATACCACATATGGACTGGATGTAACAGGAGCTGGTGTGAGCCAACTAGGGCAGAAGTAAGCCAGTGCCTGTACAGCCTTCTCTTACAGAGGGTGAATCCGCTGCCAGGACACGTAGGTCCAGCACGTAACGTCTGCTTACTCATATCATGGTCATGACTTGCTGTGTGATTTAATACAATACCCCAAATTGGTGACAGTGCATCCCATGCTGGCATATGCCAAAAGCTCCCTTTGTGAGGTGCCACCTCACCAGCTTTCAGCACCCTTGCTCGTTAAAGCCATTTGCCCAACGAGGGTCACTGGGAGCCAAGCGTGTGCTGGCTTTTGCAGGATTAGGCCAAGGGAATCTTGTGGTCAAGAAGACCAAGAGAGAAGGCTATGATATGTTCAAACCATCTACCCAACAAGCAAAAAAACCTAACGCTGCTGTCCAAGAATCATCTAAAAAAAATGCTCACTCCCACAATTTATACTTAAAAATTTTAAATGTTAAACAAATGTAGAATGGGGACTGTTCCAGAGCAGTGCTTCATTATTAAGGGAAAAGATTAGCATAAACACTAATTTTGCTCCAGTTAAGCTGCATTTGTGCCTCAGCAATAATATGCCTGATCTTTATTTAACCTTCTTGGTTACTCTAGAATGAAAGATATAGTCTTCAGTCTTTTCACTTTGGTAATGAAATAAAGAATACCTCAGGTAACATGAGAACATAACCTGTGGTCTTAATTCCACGATCCGTACCAGGCCAATTTTAGTTGATTCCAATGGAATTTTTCTGACCCACATTTGGTTCAAAACCAAGCCAAAAAATCAAAGTGAAAAATGGCAGCAAACCAAGGGACTAATTGCCTGAGGATGGTAAGAAGAATACTCACACCTCAGTCCCCCATTCAGGTACACATAATTTCCAGTAACCCTAAAACTTCTTCCAGTAACTCTTCTCCTCTGTCCCAAAGTATTATAAATAATACTGGTCTGGCCCTATTAGTGCTGGAATATCACAAAACTGTTTAAAAATGTGCACCTTTTTTTCCCCCATGATCTATTTACATACAAAGTTTACAGTTCCGTTTGCATATGAGGAGACAGGATGCACACAGAGAGGAATAAAACTTGCTTTTAAACCGAGTTCTCCTGAAACCTTGGTGTGTGTCCCCAGGTGTGTGCAGAGGGGGTACCTGTATTTCAAACACCACGCAAGGATTCTGCTTTAGTAAAAGCAATGCTTAGTTTTGCATATAGTCCTACATGACTATTTTATGTGGAGCATGAAACCCTTTGCTACTGAAAGCACACTTTTTGCAGCTAAGCATGAACAGATTTTTTAAAAAATTCTTCTAGCATTTATACTTACCACATCATAATTTTGTTCCAGAAATTCTGCCACCAACAATTTGTGTCGTGTTAACAGGTCCTGGGGAGAACAGAGAAAGGTTATCTGAGAGAGTGTGCTCATTTGATTGCCCCTTGATTCTCAAACGTATTTTAGCATTTTTCACCAGGTCATCTTTTAGGAGGTATTTACAACATGATTCCTGTAGACAGAAAGCTTTTAAAAACAATACTGCATTGTGTGTTTAGTAGGATTCTAAGAAGAACTCGGCTAATGCTAACAGAATCAATCTAAAACTACTCTAACACTCTTTCTTTATATTCCTTTTCCCTCCCACCTTTTCTTATGGTCATCGGTCATAGTACACAGTGCTTTAAATAAACTGGGGTAGGGGAAAGGAAGAAAATAAATGAACCCTTTATGGAGGGATCAGCTATGGTCCCAAAGCCAGAAGTGATCTACATGTTACCCCACAGCTGGAAATTATACTAAGCTGGATCAACTACTATTGCTCATCTCCCAAGAATACAACAAGGAAGACTCAAATTCAACCACTGTATACATACATTTATTTATTTTAAGCCTAAAAGTTAGGTGCTGATCTGAGCTAGCCATCCAGACTCCCTCCACAGCCACTCCCTCCTGGGAAAGGGCTCTCCGGTAGGTGGGATGAATCCCTTCTGCAGCTCTCTTTCTGCCCAAGGTGGGCTTACTGACACAAGCAGTAGCAGACCTTTTAAACAGCTGGACACGTGATGCCTCCCATGCTAAAAGCCCAACTAATTCAAATTTAAATTAAAGCAACCTCTCCCACACAAGGGGAATGCTAGTGCTCAGAGACAGAGATGCAAATGTTCAGCTCCAGAAGAAATCAAATCTCTTTACTGGATGAATAGCTATGAAATGAAGTGTCCAGTTTGAGGCATTTAAGTTTAATTTTTATCTTATTGCCTCTTTTAAAATGTAACACTGCTCACAATAAATGCCTAATGAAGTCCATTCAAGTCAGTATTTTTTCAGTGAATCAGTTTCTGCTATCTTTTTCATCATCTCTTCCTTGGTTTCCTTACCCACAGTCAGAGACTGAAGCTGATGAGTAGCTGAAGCAGATGCACAGACACATCCTCTACAGCATCACAAATAAAAGAAATCCTTTACATACTAATCTTTAATTTATTTTTACCATCAATTATAAGAGAAAAGCAGAGTGCTATAAAATCCAGTACCTGTTTTTAATACATTCCTTTATTTAGCAGGACTGCAATGATAGCAGTTTAAAAGGCTGAGTGCAACAAACGTGATTCACAAGCATTTATGCAGGGCACTCAGGAGGCAACTACAACATTTTTCAATAGGGGGCACAAATGGAATATAATCTGAAATGAGTTTTTCATAGAAAATCATGAGAGAGTGTGGAGCAGCAGTATTCAATCAGCACTCTTTCCAAGCACTGCTGGTACCCTCCACAGCTGACTGTAGCTTTAAATACAAGCTGCTTTCCTCTGCATTTTTAGCAGCTATGTTTCCTCTCTGCAGCACACCTGGCTGAATTTAATTAAGAAGTACATCTCCAGATCATCAAAAATTCCAATACTTCCATACTATAAACATCCTCAGACTTCAATGCACATTTAATTAGCCCTCTTCTGGTGCATAGACTATCCAAGGCTTTCAGCTCTGAACGAGACACCCCAGTGGCAACACTACAAACCCAACACAGGGAAAATAGAACTGAAAACATGAGTTCAGTAAACCAGCCAGCAAGCAATCACAGCACTTATTTTTAAGGTATTAGAACGGAGGTAGCTCCATATTTCATGATTCAGTTGCTTCCACATCACTTCTTGCTGTTCCAGCTATTCAGAGTAACAGACAAATAGGAGATGAGATGAACAGCTGGTTTATTTCCAGAACTGACCATGTATAAGGTCAGGCAATTTAAAATAAGGGGCAATTTAAAAAAATGCAGTTTATACATTTTCCCCAAGCATTTTAAAAGGTGATTTCTGCCCTATGTCTGAGGATGAACTGCCCTCATACTCTTCTCTTTCCAGTGCGTGTGAGGATGTAGAATCCTATTTTTAAATCCTGCTAAAAATACACTCAGATCACAGGGGACAGAAGTAAGTTTCACAGCTGTAGATCCCTGAACTACATCAATCCTACTTTTCTGGGGGGGGTCGCAGCAGTCTGCAGTCCCTGCCACAGCTTAACTGACCCTTGTCCCCATCCTGCCTCCTGGCTGGGCTGAAGATTGTCCATCACCAATCAGACACTCCGCTGTCCTGCTCAAAGCAGGACCTGGGGAAAAGATGCAAATTTTTTCTGTCAAGCTGGGAACAGAGTCCAGGAGCACTTTTGCTGACCAGAGACAAATACTCTTCCAAGCATAGGGTAAAATGCCAGAGACAGAGGATTTAAATATCTCAGTTATGTTGCATTTTTATACAGTCCAACACTGTACTTCTGTTTGTGTTTCTGTGCTACTTCCACTTTCATAACATTTACCTAACGAATACCACAACAGTGCAGCTTAAAATAATGGAAAGATGCTGCTATTGATTAACAGGTCGTTTGAACTCGTAATCCTGCTCAACTCATTATTGAAGAATGCAACATTATCTCCATCACACAAATCTTTACCCCATTCAGTTAGTAAAAACCAAGGCTGGGTTTTATTATGCGTTGAATTGCTGAGCTGAACTCCAACATTCTTTACAGTTATTCCTAAGGTCTATCTAATCATGTTTCTAATTAGCTTTGAGAGGAAAGAATGAACAACTTGTTTCTACGACAGCAAGGAACTCAATGATAAAAGAAAAAAGGAGTTACATCTATATTTAGAAGAGTCTTTACCCCAGAATTTTCCCCAACTTGCTTAAATTATTTTTCAGAAATAAACTAATCTTCCCATACATTAAGCTCATCGGCACCAAATTTTGCTCAAAGACCATACGAGCACCTTGCAGGAACGATGATGGTCACGTACAAACTCCAAGAAATTTGGCAAGCTTCACCCAACTTCATTTTTAATACAACACAGAGACTCTATACAGAGTCTATGCAGTGCTTTCACCTACTTAACTCTTAGCAGTATGGTCCTTACACTGAACCACGGGTCACAAAAGTAAGCATACGAATACGTGGTAAAACAATCAGTGGGCACGGCATTAATCTAAACTTGACTGCCGTACTCAGAAGGACAGCAAAAATTACAAGGAATTCAAAAGTTTTAAATTATTCCTTCTATTTACTGTTTGCGGTCGTGATGGGTAGTGGTTTTGTCTCCAGGGGAAAGTAGGGAGAGGAAAAGGCATTTTACAAGAATGGTATGTAATACATGATTAATTTGAGTTTCAAATGGTTGCATAAAAGACCTTGGGTTATCAAGATGAAGAACATTAGTGAACTGTAAATCTGTATTGAATTAAAGAGTCTTTGGGACTTGATCACTGTTGTGAATCCTGTTACAAACAGACCAAGGATTAATTATATCCTTTACTGAACAATAAAAAAAGCCACCCAGTTTAAAGGCAACAGAACATTCAGTGATGACTGCTGATAGAGTGCCATTTTTGACACAACGCTATCATGCGGGTATCAAACAACTTACCTTGAATGTAGCAAAGGCATCAGAAGCTATATCAAAAGTTGACATTTCCACATATTTAAAAAAGTCTCTGAACTGTTCCGAAAAAAGTATGATTTTGGCCAAGGGTTCGTGCCGGATGCACTCTCTCAGCATAATTCCACAGCGTAAGGCAATATTTGGGGATTCGTATCTGAAGAATAAAAAGAAACAGAAAAGATCAAAATGTAGAAGAACGAAGATAAACGGGCACTTTTCCAGCAATGGGGAACTTTGTAGCATAGGGATCGCCTGCACCAGAGGGGACACAACACGTGGATGGCAGCTCCCAGCCACAGCACTGTACCCACCTGCCTCGGGACCTCAGCCCAAAGCTAAGGAGCAGACACACAGATAATACAGCCAGTGTTCCCCATCGCTAACCTCTGCCTTCACAAGCCAAAACACATTTCAGTGTAAATGTGCATTACACCTCCTCTCTGTGGAAAGTCCCTGTGGGGAGTGCGTAACGTTTCAACAGAGCTCCTTCATCTTTTTAGATTTATGAGAAAGCAAAGCCCATACAATATAACAATCTCCCTTTTCAGATTTAATTCTCAGTTCCCTAGTTTATCCAAGAAAAATGTAACACCTCATGACCATCCACCACCTCCCACTCCTCTTCTAGAGAAGATCACTCTAGCATATTAATGTGTCTAACAAGGAAGGTACGAAGTCTATCCAGGCAGTCTACACAGGATTAAGCTTTCTGTAGTTTCTGAAGATCTTTTTTTGCAGTTTAGGAGGAATTCTGCTCAATCCCTCCTCTGCAGAGGCTATGACTTTGTTCAGGAGACAAGTATTCATTCCTCAAGTTACAATCTTGTTATGGCACACGCATTGCAATAGCCAGAAGCCAGCACACTTCTCAATCTTGGAGAGGGAAGGAGGGGGGAGGCAATTCAGATCATCTTCTATTTCTATAAAGTCTTGATTTCTCTAAAGCTGAATTTAATCTGAAACAAAACTGTTAGAAACACAACTTTAAAAAAAAAAAAAAAAAGGATGAAATCCAGCAGTCAGGAAGGACTTAAAATTAACTTCTTCCAGCAATCTTCAGTCATGTGAAAGTGATGAAGTCCAAGGGGACAGAAAGCACACTCTGTTTCAATAAGCTGGTTATACTATATCAGAACTGTGTATTATCACCAAGAGCTTATCAGCATCATTTTTCCTTTGAACAATTAATTTCTATCACAGGCCAAAAGAGGAAGAAAAAAAAAAAGCAAGAAAGAAAAACACAAAATGCCATCTGTGCTGTAAGTGAGTGGGGGCTCAAATTTACCACCAGCTTGCAATTTAAAAGAATGGTAGTGTTTTGCAAGCATACCAGAGCTGCATACTTCAACCTCACGTCAACAATAGTTGGCTTAATGAAAAATGAATTACTATTTGAAATAGGCAAATGAAACTTCCCACCCTCAAGGAAATGCAGGCACTCAAGCCCCTATTTGTTTCCTTTTGGGAAACATTTGCAAACGTGAATTTATAACTCTTTAGACAACAGAAATTTGCTTATGTTTCCCATTGAGGCATACCTCTCCTCAACTCCATTAACAGGAATACTAATTTTCAAGGAAAAAGAGGCAGAGTTGCACCTAGGAGTGCAGCCAGGAAAATATTTAATAGTTGGCTAAGGAATATTTTGGTTGGAATAAAAGCAAATTACATTGTTTCCAGCACAATAACTTTTTAAAACATAAGTATCAACAGAGTCATTCTTAGTCAAATGCTCCATTATCTGGAAGTGGGTTTGGCTCCTGGAATATGCCTGGAAGAAGTTTACAGGCTATCCCGTCATAACTGGCATGTTCTCTGCACCCACACTTACATGCAAAGCTACCAGGCAGGAATGATAGAAATGTGTTTCAAAATCACTTTTAATAAGCAACTAGTGCTCTGTGCTGACGTATTCCCACAGCATAAAAAAAATACTGAGCTGTTCTCTGTTTGGATGAACTTACAACCTAAAGAAACCTCCCCATACTGACTACTGGGGGCAACCAGAAAATGAAATAATGGACTTGAAATATTTCAAAACATTCACTGTGGAGGCTGAAAGAGCCAAGACTGAGAGCAGAGGTGCATCTCGGTGCAAAGGGAATCATACTTGCATGGCTAGTGCAGAAGATGGTACAAGGCAAGGAGCACAGGCAGGAGATTAGGAAGGCATCAAGCCTGGGAGAAACAAGGTCTTGACAAACACCTATATTCTGATCTGATTTTACACTAGCTTCTATAGCCTGAGTTTATCCTTGGATAAACTTAAGGGGAATTCTGCAACTTCAGCCAATATACCATTAAAGCTTTAACTGCACTGCGATGTGAAGAGGTCATTACAAAACAGATCGTGGCAGTGACTAAGTATGTTAGAGATAGCATGTGGCATGATATATATTCACAAAGGAGCTTATAAATTTCTCACTTGTGAGAGACAGTGCAAGTGCCACAAACTTCAAGTCCTCTATAGTCACTGTACTAGAGGGAAGATATTTGAAATTAAAAAGGATGAAAGTTATTTCTGGGCTAACGTAGTATGCTGAGACCAGAGAAAAAATTTGGCCCAAATATATCCGGTACTCTATATACACCAAACATTGTATTCATCTGAAATCCTACTCATACACAAAGCCTGCACACACAGAAAATGAGATACTATTAAAGCAAGTCCTCATGCAGCAGGAAGGTCAATTAACCTACCAAATAAAAAGAAAAAAAAAAAAGTAGTCAACTATGTACTGCATGTTTTTCTGAAGCTGAGAAGCTGGAAGGAAGTAGCCAACAAGTAAAATGAAGCCTAAAAGGTAAGAACAGTTATCTCAAGCTGGCAGTACCACTGGAGTATTAGGCAGGAAACACCGGGCGGGAGCTCTGATTCAGGATCCTTCCCACTCAACAGAACTCACATTATGCAACAAAAAAGCAACCTTTTGTTGATACTGTTGGGAACTGACTGTCAGGGGGCAGAGGAAATTTTGCATCCAATACAAGTAAAACAATGACAAGTCTTCACAATAGTCCCGGGCTATTTCTTTTACAGTCATAGTAGAATTCTATTTTTTTTTTCTCCAGATAACGCCATATAACAAACACCGAATGGTACAAGCCAGCCAAATCCACTCTCTTTACCTTTAAGCAGATTTTGATTCCATTTATTTCATTTGCTATTAAATAAAAATGAAAACGTGTCCTCAAGTCACGTTTTCAAGTGGTCATGTCTAACATGAAGTGCCTGTTTCCCAGTCTCATAGCTGATTGCACACAAGCACGGCACGCTGCCTGCATGCAGCAAGCTGCCTGTTCAGGGCCCTACCCTTGCTGTAGGCACATATTTTAAGTATCGGTTTTAGACAGTCCCAGCAGCAGGACATAAGCAGGTAAGGGAGCATCATGTCTGACATCATTATGCTGTTCTGCAGCAGCTACTCAGATACCATCAGGGCTGGATGGTACTGTCTTCTGGACTACTGCTGATGAATTCAACAGCATTTTCTAACAAGAAACTCCAGAAACAGCAATTTTGATACAGTGCAGTGCTGCGAAGAGATAGCCAAGAAATCAAGAACAAGGAGCTGAGGACCAAACTAACATGGACACGCTGCTGCACGCAGCAGCACTCTCCAAAAACCACCTAAGTGATGCCATTTAAATACGTCCACTGGCTCAGGTCACCTACAGTAAAATGTGTCAGCCACACATATGCATAACATAAAATCTTTACTGTCATCTTAATATTCTTGGTTGTTACAGATGCCAAAGAATATCTGGGACATGATCCAAAAATATTTTTTAGCTTTAAATAAAGCCCAGACATATGGTAGCGATACATGCACAACATGCAAAAACAAAATGAGTGAAAAATCGAAAAAGCAAAGACAGAGAAAAGGAAAGAAAATTATTGTATCTATATATGAAGTTGAAAGCAGTTGTACAACTTAATGACAACTGAGAGAATTATCATCGCTGTCCTGAAACAACTAGTTTGAGGTTTATATAAATGGTGAATTTTAACAAACAGACGAAACCAAAATCCATTTAACTAGCTTACTGGGTTCCTTTTGAGGAAGCTGGTGTTTAGTAACACAAAACAAGTCAAGAGTTTCACAATTAAACCTAAATCACCCCAAATCACTATACTTGTAAGAGCAAGACCTAGCTCAGCCCAGCCACCCCCCCAGGCTCCTCACCGCCCTGCCTGCGAGGAAGACAGCAGGTCCGCACCTCCTCCTGTCACAGCAACCAAGAGCTTTGCCACCACGTTCAACCACAAGCTCACCGTTCTTGAAATCCCTGGTACTGACTAGTTCTCTTGGTTACTTTTTTCCCTACTGTGCTGGTTTGGGCTGGGATAGAGTTAATTTTTTCCATAGTAGCTGGGATGCGCTGTGTTTTGGATTTGTGACCAAAACAGTGTTGATAACACAGCGATGTTTTAGTTAGTGCTGAGCAGTGCTTGCACAGTGTCAAGGCCTTTTTTTTCTCCTGTTTCTCACCCCATCCCACCAGCGAGCAGGCGGGGGAGGGGGGGCACAAGGAGTTGGGGGGACACACACAGCTGGAACAGCTGACCCCAACTGACCCAAGGGATATTCCAGACCATAGGACACCATGCTCAGCATGTAAAGCTGGGGGAAGAAGGAGGAAGGGGGAGATGTTCAGAGTGATGGCGTTTGTCTTCCCAAGTCACTGTCCTGCGTGACGGAGCCCTGCTTTCCTGGAGATGGCTGAACACCTGCCTGCCCATGGGAAGTGGGGAATGAATTCCTTGGTTTGCTTGTGTGCAGCTTTTGCTTTACATATTAAACTGTCTTCATCTCAACTCACGAGTTTTCTCACTTTTACTCTTCCAATTCTCTCCCCCATCCCAAGCGGGGGCAGTGAGCGAGTGGCTGTGTGGGGCTGAGTTGCCGGCTGGGGTTAAACCACGACAGCTACTCAGCTGTGCTGGAATGTGGCCAGTTTTGAAGAAAAAACTATTTCAGAGGACTCCCATGCCTATCCCTCTCCTTGACTGGGGTCTGCCCCTGGGAGAGGGGGGAGGCTGGCTGAACAGAATTTTATTACTCTTGGGGCTGCAGCCTTGTCACGCACAAACCTTAGATGGTGCCTAAGTATTTTCCTAACTCTGGCTGTGGAGAAAATGGTAAAAATGCAAATCTTCAACCTCAAGAACAAGACAAACACTTCAAAAAAAAAAAGCATTCTCTTAACCATTAGTTTAAAAGGCTTATATCATGTTTTTGAATGGCTGTTACTAGCGTGACCATACAACTACTATGAGAGTCCACATTGTTTCATACTGATCAGCTAATAAATCTCCTTATTTCTACATCTGTTATTTAATCCCAATCACATATATTCTCTTTTCCTTAGGGAAAAATGAACAAAATCCTAAAGCCAAAAGAAAACTGAGCAGAAAACAGTAGACTTCAAGGGCTGGAAAAGCAAAGCTTCTCACTGAATGAAAGGTGCATTTAGTCAAAAGTAAAGGGGACAGAAGCCTCAAGAGTTTTAGGCCAACACTTGTGCACTCCTGAATGCAACTACAGCTGATGTCCTCTCCATACAGCAGTCTACTCCCCCTCCTTGGCCAACTTACCTTGGGGACCACCAGGTTACAGCTGAGCACTGACCCCCTCAAAGGTTAAAAGACAAAAAAAAAAAAAAAAAAAAAGTAATGCTGAAAGTTGTGGAGTTCATTACAGAATTAATTCAAAGTTGAAGTTCACATGTGGCTACAAGGATTGCAGAAGTCTGTCCCACAGACACAACTATGCTTTTTATGCATTTTTGCTTCTCTCTGTTCTACCACCAGTTTGACTCTAAGTATTTACAGACACCACTATAAGTCACTCCTGCAATGCAAAAAGGTCTAAATGAAACTCCACAGTCATCAGCAATGCCACACGAGAGTTTAGGGCAAGAACTGAAGTACACATCACATGAGGAACACTCAAAAACAATCAGCACATAATTATTCCAACATGAAGTTTGGTGAAGAAATAACGGCCAAATAAAATAATCCAGTCATAAAAAGTATACAGTTAAGCAGAAAGAAAGTCAACATAAAAGAAACAAAATATCTGGAACAAAATCTGAACTTTTTTTTTTTTTTAACTGAAAAGTGAGAAAGTAGATCAACTGCAATGCCAGCATGTTGCAGGCAATGCTCTTTAAGTCTAATTTAAGTACCCACCCTTTTAGAAGCATGAATAGGATATGTGGATGGGCACTAATGTATTCCACAGTAGGGCTACGCGTGCCAATTTGTCTTCTCAAGATGTTGTTAAATATCTGGGAAACGTCCTTTTTGCCCTGTTAAAAAAGCAAAATATATCTTCAGCTGGAAAAACACGAACAAATGACCATTTACTAGGCTCTCTATTGAAAGTAGAAATGAAAGTGAAAACAAAACAGTTTTTTTGGGCTCTCCACAGTCCCACCACCTCATAGTTGCTGTTTCTTCCACACCACAAGAAGGCTTCCTCTGTTGGGTGGCTCTGAAGACTACCGATCCCCTCACTCCCATTTACACCTTTCTTCTTCTAAATGAAGATGTGCATCCCCCTTATTCTGTCAAGGAAGTCCCTGGCTATCTTAAATAGCAACATTAAAGTACCAAAAAAGGTAGGGTGAGGGTGGTGAAGCACTCGCACAGGTTGCCCAGAGAGGCTGTGGCTGCCCCATCCCTGGAAATGTTCAAGGCCAGGTTGGACGGGGCTTGGAGCAACCTGGTCTGGTGGAAGGTGTCCCTGCCCATGGCAGGGGGGTTGGAACGAGGTGATCTTTAAGGTCCCTTCCAACCCAAACCATTTTATGATTCTATGAAAAGCAAGTCACTACCCTGAGCTAAATATGCTTTTGCATTGTGTACTATTGCTCCTGCAGCCTCCAAATTTAAGTTGTCAATCTAGTACCAAGTACACTGCCCCACAGCCTAGACTTACAAAGCTAAAGCTTTTCGTTATTCACATGCTATCAATGCCAAGCGTGACTGCATTTTTGAAAATCAGGGTTAAATTTAAAACTGCACCCATTATTTCACCATGAAGAATGAAATCATTAATACTGATAAAAAGGCTGCTTCACATATATGTCTCTGCTTTAGTCACAACTAAGATCCTTCACGTTGTCCAATTTTTCTCCTGTATACACCTATCTGCACAACCATGTTTTGCCTTCGAACACTTCCCCATGCAAACAGCTTTTCAGAAGGTCTTTCCAAATTACATTCTATTCAGCCACAGGGTTTGCCAATACATCTTGCATTAGAAGTCCTCTTCCTCCCCCACCGCTTTCTCCCCTGGCCACAGGAGACAAATTGATGTGTGAAATTAATGGAGGGGGGAGACCGCTGCACTAATGACCAGTAACCAAGGCACTGAGTCAACAGCGGGTCACTAAGCACAGGGCAAGCTAAAGCAAAAGGTTACTTATAATCATGATCATTGATCTGTCTCGCGAGGACAAACATTCCTTGGTGGAGAACTTATCGAACGTTTGAAGCCAAGGAGCAGATAGTTTCACACAGAGGGAAATTCCCTGGTTTCACCTCTACAAATAAATCACTGCTGAGAAACACAAAATATTCTGCTTTCTTACTCGTTCCAACCCAGCTGGCTTGGAGACTCGGGGAATTAAATAGAATAAAATCAGAGCAGGCCAGTCCATCTGTGTTTGTCTGCAACACTTTTGACCCTTGGACATTCTCTTAATAAGGCTAATTCTTTATGAAGTCATCCCATTCTCCCCTACCTTTACAACACCCGTAACGTATGCCTGGAACCTTGTGATCCCCAGCGGCTTCAGCAGTTACTCCAAGACAAAAACAATCCAGACAGAGAAGAGCTGTTGAAAGGGTGAGGTGAAAATGGCCAAAAATTAAGTGATCCTCTCTGCTATGCCAAATTTTATATTAGTTACTTAATATTAAGGGCACTGCAGCATTATTTCCAATAGCAGAGAAGAGATAGATATATATCTCTCTATATATCTCAGAGAGGGGAGAGAGAGAGATCCAATTATATCTAGTTTTCTAGAGACCAGCGATGATGAAAGCCAGAGAAGTTGGTCTTTCTGGGTTGTCCTGGGGGCAATGGAGGCAGATAGGAGGGAACCAAGGCAGACTTCCCTCACCACCAGACATCTATAAAAATTGTAGGAATACTTTTGCAACACTTCTTACTTGGATCTGTGATTCAGTTTTGCCTTATAATGAAATACATATGGCCACTGAAGTACAAGATAAGGCAGTATGGAGAAAAAGTGGCTAGACAAGAACAAAAAAACTGCAAAGGATGCCATTACATAAATAACAAATTGATGATACCTATACCATAATTTAGCTCCTGTTTCCAGACAAAGTAAGGGAAAGCATCTAATGTCACTAGTCCTGGGCTTGTGGCTATTTACTGCCTCTTTTAGTGGCTTTACAGCTTGTGAACCCTTAGGCTTATATGTGGTTAGTAACATCTATTTTTTTCTAGTTGACTTTTTCTGTATGCACACTTTCCTCAGTTCTTCAAAGTTCAACAATAAATTTCATATTTTAAATTTCAAAAAATCCAGTCTGATCTTGATTCTGGGCTCCTGCCCAAATCCAACTTTAGTGCTTCATAACAGTTTCCTCACCAAAATTATACCTTGTTTCTTGAGTGGCAGAAGCAATAAACCTGTATTTTCTATAGACGTGTGATGGATGTGTGCAAGTCTCCCCTACACGCATGCCCGCCCCCAGCCACACGTGCTGTAAGCGTACTGGCAGATGAAACACAAATGAGACAGGACTCGAGTCTGTGCTTCTGCCTTATTTTCTGTGGGGGCATTAACTCTGGCCTCGCTCCTCTAAATAGCCATCAAGTTTCATGAAGTCTTTGAAAACACATCTTCAAAGGGGAGTACAGCTGTGCAAAACTGGGATCAAAGTGGGCAGCACGGTTGGTGAGGAGGAGAGAGGGAGTCAGGACAAAACAAAGTAACCTACAAAAACACTATTCCCTTCAGAAATCAGACTTTCAAGTAATTTATGATTTTGCTTTCTACCATTACCTATGCATGAAAAAATTAATTTGCATGTTATAAACTGATAAAATTGCTTGTTCAACAAAGAAACCTAAATGCCAACTGTGGCCGCCAATATAAAATGGAAGCAGAAAAGTTGACAAAGCTAAAAAAGTCAATGGGAATATGAAGACAAAGCAGCACATACTCTTACTATCCTCTTGTTCAATGACACTTCTTTTCTATTGTTTTGCCAAAAGAGTATGTATAACAGCTTTGCTAAATGACTGAAAAGGTTTTATCATGGAAAAAAATCTATTTTGCAGTAAGACTTATTAGAATTGTTTGTATAACAGTAATTCAGCAACAGATTAGGTATTTCATTCAGTGCTTGCATTTGAAGACTGTGGGTTCAATATGTCCATACAGAATTTTTTGTCTGACAAAAGGAATACAGACTGTCAGGTAACTAAAAAAATGCAGTAGTTTTCCTTCTGTGGTGTATTTGCTAACAGTATCTTCTCTGCCCCGCTCTCCTTTTTTCTTAAAAACTAATAAATAAATTACTGGATTTTTAGCGGTTTGTGTTGTTGGGGTTTGGGTTTTTTTGTAATTAAGACATTTAACAGTAACCAGGGGTGGCAGGGAGAAGACAAATGAAAGGATCTCAATAAATTCTAGCATAATATGACAATATTTCTTTAATGTTTTCATTTTAATAAAAAAGAAAAAATCAGATGCATTGCAGTTACTTCCAGTATATGAACACGTCTATCAGGACACTGACTAATCTACAGCAACTACTTTCTTTAGCATGTGAAAAACAGTTTTGAATGCAATAAAATTATTTAGACTTCAAAAAACTACAGCTCTACTCACTGACAACAGAGAGACCAAGGAGATGAAAAGGTTTATGGATGCTGACTTACTTCAAAATCTATCAGCTGCAGGTTGGCAATAAGTGTCACTAGAAGGCCACTGTTATATAGCTCTTGTGCCAGTTGAGCCACGATTTCTGTAGGTGGCTCCTTGTCTGTGGTCCCGCACAGAATTTCCTTCATTGCTTGCAGAGATTTTGACACTTCCTCTGACGCCTGTTCACCAGCAGATAAGGGGTTTGTTTAAAAAAAGAAAACAGAAAAGAAAAAGCAAAACTGTTTTATTTTAAAAGACAAGCAGTTCAAAACAAAAGCTTCTAACCGTACCTATGTTGATCGTTACCTATTGTAAAATGGTTTTAATAATCTTAGGTAATCATTGAGGCTGGGACATCTACACTGGAACGTGCAGGTCCTACAGAAGCACACAGATATATTCAACTTAAACACAGCATGCCATTAATTACAGACCACGGGCATAAAACAGGGGAAGGAGTACAATTACCAACCGGTCTCAGCAAGATCCTTGACGGATTTGAAGACAGGCGCTGCCCTGCAGAAGCAGTGGCACTTTCACCATCGCTCCCCCCGTCCTCCCCAGTGGGTTCCATCAACACCCATGGGGCGAGAGGTGCCAGATGAAGGTACCAAACTGGACAGGTCCTGCCGCTGGTGGGCTGGCCGCTGTGCTGCTTCCCCATCAACTGCTTGCTGACGGACTGTCCCAGCTCGTCTGCTGGTAACCCAATTAAATCCCCGTACCCCTGCCAGCTTGGCACTGCCACCACTTATTTCTCCTCACCACGTCTAGTTTGAGCCAGCATCTTCCACAAGGGATTTGCCTATGGAGCACGCAGGCACTTCAGTCTCAGGTTGGGAAATTAATTAAATTAAACAATTTGCTTTAGTAAAGCTCCGCAGCTGCCACCAAGTGAACTAAAATAAGTCTTTCATCTTTTGCTCCCACCTAGTGTATACTTCAGGTGCAATGCTTCAGGTACCTAATGCAGAGGATGAATCGGGAATTACCTTATAAAATATCTTGGCCAGAAACCTTACAACAGGAAATGAAAGAGAAACGCATATGAACAGGTAACAGCTTAGCATTCATGTCAGTCAGCAGGTTTAAATCAGATGTGAATGGGAACGTCCCACTTCCCAAGGGAAACGACTGCTGGCCACAGCATGGCAGCTCCAGCTCACGCTCTCCTCCCAGGTTTGCTCCACTTCATATAAATAAAGACTCTGTGGAGCAAATGCATTGTTTTTTCATGTGTGTGCATGTGTGCTTTAAATGACACCTGCTCTAGCTGTGGAGGCAATGGCTCCTTCTGGGTCAGGGTATATTTAATACACGTGTGACCCGCAGCAAGGCTGGTTGGATTTTTTGGCAGGGAGTGGGATGGAAATAAGGGACAGGTTTGAAAGCAAAGCTGAGGATGACAGCAAAGTGCCAGGCAAGACGGTTAAAGATGCTGAGGACAGGACAGCATTTCACATCTATATTGCAAAACATTTATTTGAAATTAGTGTTTCATTAGCTTAGCAAGGGAGGAAATAGATAAATGAAATTCAAGACACACACAGAAAACCCAAGAGTCATTTGTAAAAGCTAACTGGACATTAATGGATGTTCAAAACCAGATCAATAATTTCAATTCATCTCTCACATAAACTGAAAGGAAAAATGTCATGCTTTCAAATACCACCCCATCAATCTGCATAAAATAACCACACTGTGCTCTGGAGAGGCATCTTTCAGCTGCTGCTGATCTCCCAACACTTTAATACTGATTTAAATCACAGATTTTATTCACACTAGTGAACAAAAATCCTAGAAAGAACCTAAAAATCCTAAACACCCCCCCTCTCCACCCCCCCCAATAAAAAGTCACTTTCACATTGCATCTCCCTGGAAGATTCAAGCATTGATTTTGCACAGCATAAATAAACTTTCTCCCCCAATCTGTTTGTACCTACTCTCAGTTTTCTGCTAGCTGAGATAGGTCAGCAGGAGCGGCGTGTAAATGAATATGACTATGTGATAACTTTAACCACAGCAGAAGTCTTGTTGTTCCTTACCGTCGCTCAGCAAAAGAGCCTATTTTTACCTCAAATGTTAGTGGTATGTCACTAGAGATATCCCACAGAGTACAGATGGGATTAACAACAGGGGTGCTATCTTGGGAACTAAAGCCCTAAAACTTCATAAGAGCTGTGCAAATATTTTCATATTAAAGGAAAAACCCATACATTTTTGGTTTTTCACCCATTCTGCTGGGCAGGGTGTGAATATCTCTGGCATTCTGTGGTTAAAAAAAAAAATACATTAATACCTTTCAAGTATAGTAGTCCTTTCTGATATGTAGAAAAATGTCTGCAAGACTGAGCTTTAGGTTTAATTCTCAAAAAGGAGGCTAAAAAGTAAAGCGCTGCAGGAGAAGACGTAACTACAGAACACCGTGCTGTTGATGGGCACAGCTGGGCACCACAGCTGTATTTCTCTAATCATCTGCCATCCCATCCACTCATCTTCTCAGCTTTTCTACACGCAATTTACATTTTGTGTTTAACTTCCCTCTCCTTCATATCCTCTGGATACTCTGTAGTTTGACATTCAACCCATCACCAAAAGCTATTCCCGGTCAAATCTAAGGACCGCTCTTCAGTGCCTATCCCTCATAATCTATCTGGAGGAAAACCATAATCCTGAACACAGATCCGTAAAGTAACAGCCACTTCTAGCCTCCACTTTGACATTTCCACTTAATCTTACTGCATTTTTAGAATAATAACCCAAATACATAATCACTGTTTCTGTGATGGAAACTTGCTCAAGTCTCAGAGGAAAAAAAAAAAAGACAGACATTCCAAGATCCAAAGACCCAAGATCTGTCCAAAACAAATAACAAAACGAATACATTCACTCGAATACATGGAAAATACAAGATGACAGAAACATAGCTGCAGAACAGCTTGTCATAAGAAGGCAGACCGGACCTGACCCTCTTTAGAAAAATTTGCAAAACCCAGCAAAAACCTCAGCAAGACACCCTTCCCCGCAACAATACCACAAACAGAATTTCAGTTACAAAAAGATTTGATAGAAACTCCAAAGTCTATTATGACTTCCGTACTACTATTTATTCTCCATCAGTGGCAACAGCCACAATAGCAAAGTGCTGCAACTCTCACTTCAGCAGAAGTTACAGAGCAAAAGAAAAGGTTTCATGAAATATCTAAGCGCTTTAATCCATTTGAATCATTCTTGCAATTAAGCACAATCTTCTTTCCAGAAGATTTTCCTTCTATCCTCTAGCTATGAGTCCTTTACATCATGACTGCATTTATGCCGTTCTATTTAGAGAAGCCAGTGTGAGCAGAGGGAAGAAAGAGGGAGATGAGATAACTGAACACGGAATCCTAAACAGAACAGCTTATAAATATTACATACGAATATCAAAAGTGGGATACACTGAACTTTGGACAGTTACAGTTGCAGACAGGGACAACAAAGCACAAGATGAAATGCAAGCTGATTCCCAGCACACACATCAGTTTAGTGTCTGCGCTGCTGTCACTGCACAGATGTCAGGATCTTGACCTCCTAAAGCAACTTGCAGGTTTCTAGTCGACAGGCATCTCAGTTCACAACATCCAAACTTGGGAGGATCCAATTCCACCAGAGAACCCTGAAATTCAGGGTGGGTACATGGGTCTTAAATGAATTACGAGGTTGATTTGCAATAGCTGTGTAAGGAGAGTGAAGGAGAGCACAACCCATGCCCGCCTGTGCAATGAAGGCAGTTTTTTTCCAATGATGGCCATTTCTTTTCTACTTTCACTCAGCACAGGACTAAGAAGTTATTTCCAGCAAGAAATAACTCTTCATCCACAGAGCATAGTTTATAGTGACCAGCAATCCACAAGAGGTTTCTGGGTCCATTTTAAAATACAACATTTTGTGTAAATGTTGAAATCTAGCAATCTTTGGATTACTTTGCTAACCCTACTGGACTAGGTGATGTACAATAGCCTTGGAGCTGGAAAACTGACAACACAGATAAGCCTATATAACTTCCCTACATTAAATTATAAATGCGTTCAACCTCCCCTGCTTATAAAGTTAATTTTTTGTCAGCATTAATGTGTCTTTCCAAACCTACCAAGAGCTTCAACAATGAGTTGAAGATACTTGTCTCAAGCTGGTTTTCCTCATAGATCAAAGTCTTGTCACTGTCGACTTAATGGGATCCTAACACAAAGAAAGCAGCTTATGAAGAAATTATTCCCTGAAATTCTATATAAAAAAAAAATCTTCCCTGAAAGACCTCAAGACTATCCTCTCCGCAGCCTAACACACATGTGAAGACCAGCCAATTTTTTTTGCAAAGGTCCAGTCTTTACTGCGGAATGGGTAATACCACAATGCCTATATTGAAATATTTCCCTACTCCAGTGTTGATCTTCCTTTCCCACAGTGCTAATATTGGGTTCTTCAGTTTAGCTTGCTTTGCCAGGTCTAGAAGACAATTTCTGTGGTTTTTCTGGGTTTTTTGGACTGATCTCTACAGGACGGCCAAAATGCATGATAATGTCATTAGGCCAGTAATTTAGCTTTATTAAGGAATGCTGCAAACCAGTTATTTTTTTCTCTATATTCCACAGTTATACAAGACAGTACAGTAAGGAGTTTCCTGGTTTTTTTATTAAGGGATTACAAAGAAATCCTCCAAGTCTTAAATTTTTTCTGTTTGTCTAATATCTTCCAGAGAGATTTTAAAGAGTAGCACGGAAGGCTAAAACAAAGGTCTTATCTGTTGTTCACACAGGAAGCTGAATTTTTATTTCCATAATTACATGAGTTGGGACTTCCCATACTCAAAGGCTAAGCTGTTTTATTGCAACACTACTTGTGCGTGACACAGCAAAAAAAACTCCAACACAGATCTTCTGCTTCAAAAATCAAAACTTCATACAGGCAGGTTTTTTAAAAACCCCACAGCACACCACAGAGATACTTTACCACAAGTCCCCAGCTTCAGCAACTTAAATTTCTACCTATTCCAAGTGGCTTAATAAAAATTACCTCTACTTACTAACCTTGCCCTTCTCCTCTCCTTAGCTACTTATGGTAATTTCACATTTATCTTAAAAAGTGCCATATTAAGTGCTCGTGATCCAAACCTATTATGCTCGTCAAAGAGAGAGATGGA